CAAGCACAGCTCTGGTACCACTGTTAGGAAACGCGGGTATGCTACTCGCTAGCACACAATAAAATAACCGTGTAAACAGGATCACTTGCGAGTAGATGATCATAGATTATACCTTCGCTCGTCGCGCATCGCAGCGGAAGTCTTGATGAAGCGCGAGTAGTCGATCCGATCGACGTCGAGGAGGTAGTCGTACGATCTGACGAAGTGCGCAACCGAGCGACACCTCTACAGCAGTCCACACGTACGGAATGGAACGACGAACCGGAGCGTGCTAGCACTCCACGGCACGTACTCGAAGATCCCCGCGATCAACCTTTGATCCGGGAGGGAGGATTGCAGCGGCGGACCAGAGGTTGCGTGTGGGCACGCGGCTGCGGCAGAAGAAGTTTCGTGCGGCAACAAGCAAGTGTGCGGCGGCTGGCCAAAGGAATCACCCCTCATTAGGGTTAAAATCTAATTAGTATTTATAGGCTGCTAATTGGACCAGCGCTAATTGGACCAGGCCCCTCTTGGGCACCCAACAATTATGTAATCGCTTCAAACAGGAAGTGTTGTAGATTACGAAAGTACTATGTTCTATGACGGATATAACAACATCAATCTTTTGTATCATCTATATATATAACTCTTTAGCCATCAAAGGTTTAGAGCAATTAAAAAAATAAGTTATTAACTTAGAACAAAGCAAAAGAAACATATATTTGGGATCTCGATAGAGTATGTATGAGAGAGCTAGCCCCAGTAACAGGGGTCATATGAAATTGGTTAGGTGTACCATTTCACTTCCTTGCATTTTCTAAGTTTATTACCATCGGTCATGGCACAAATACTACAAAACCTTTGTGGCTGGCCAAAAGCGACTCGCGACGAATCGCATAAAAGTATAGTGCATATGACGACCATACACCATCGCTACATTCGTTTGGCTTATAAGCCGTACTTTTTCAGCCAACGAATAATATTTTTCTCTCACAACAATTACTAATCGGAGCCTCCACGTTGATCCTCACCAGACGCGCTAGAAAAATAGATAAATGCTAGAAAATCTCACATTAATCAAAAACATCCGGCCATCAAATTAAAGACGTAGCCATCTATAACCATTGGATCTATTCTATTTTGTACAAAATTACTGACGAATATCTATACCCGGGTATCCGAGCCAAAGGATTAATGAGTGTCACGTCACCTCATCCGATGGTTAAGGACGCAACTGCGGCCTCGTCCGACCCCTAGGGGCCGGGCCATGCCTCGTCCGACTCCGAGGACGAGGTTTCCGCCTCGTTCTACCCCAAGGCGTGGGCTCCGACTCCTCCGACCCTAGGGCACGGGCTCCGACTCGTCCGGTCCCACAGGGAGGGCTCCGCCTCGTCCGACCCCCAGGGCGAGATTTCTGCCTCGCCCGTTCCCTGGGGGTCGGATTTGCTACGTCAGTTGACCGGCGTCCGGTGGCGACTTCCTCCTTCGATCCAGCTTCGACTGGCTGTGGTTAGTCATTAGGTTAGTTGCAGGTAGGCACATGCGAAGCGATAAGCCGCAACAGTCGCCGATGTCGCCGCCGCCGCTGTCCCTCGTGGTGCTCCCGCTTCTCCTCCTCCTCCTCCTCCTCTTCGCCACTGTATCCCCCGCTGCGGCCAATGCGACCGCCACCACAGTGCCAGTGCCGCGCCTCTCCCCCCAGGCCGACGCCAGTGGCGGAGAAGTTCCACGCTACCGGTGTTCACCAACCTCACCGCGAGCGGCGGCCGCGGTACCGATCGACCTCTACTACGGCCCGGCCGGCCGCAACTTTGAACCTCATCCGGGACTAGCTCTCCGGTGACCCGCTCTCTGACGTCTAGCGGACCAATGTCACCTCCTACTTCTTCGACTCTGGGTCCCGCCACAACAGTTGTTCCCGTGGGGCTCCTGCCGCCGACCGGCTTGCCGCGGCGCCGCCGTCTACCTCGGCCATGCGAGCACGCCGACGGCGGTTCGCCACCACCTCTGAACCAAGGTCGACTTTATGTCGGTACTACGAGGAAGTCGCCACCGCCACCCGTCCGGATTTACTACGTCGATTGACCGGCGTCGGTGGCCGATCGGCACTGCATCACCAAACCGTATGGCCTCTCGTCGAGGACCTTTGACCATTCCGTCTGCTCGGATGGGATGGAAAACAAGAACGGCACACGACACCCGCACGATATCTTTGCAGTAATATCAGGACCCGGTGCGGCGCCCACCGCCACCACGATCTCTGGTGGTCAATGAGACCCACGCGAAGAGGAGGACGACACACCCCTGGGAGCCTTATTTTTTTTTTCTTTTTTCTCTCTTCCCTTCTCTCGGTCTCTGGTATCCTGTTCTCTCCCTGTCGGTGCAGAAAGTGACCAACACGTAAATATTTGTAGTTTTGTCGTACGTTGTGATCGGAGGTGGCCTAGCACTCAATGACACAGGGTTTATACTGGTTCAGGCAACGTGCCCTACGTCCAGTTTGAGTCGGTCGGTGACTTTATTCCTGAGCCCAAGAGGTCTGGTCGGACTCTGGTCAGAGGGGCCGAGAGTGACGGGAGCTCCGTTATGTGCTAAGTGTTAGAGCGTGTGCTCGTGGTTTGAACCTAGTGATTCTGTTGTTGTGTCCTAGTGAACTAATCGATCTGAATCAACCTATCTGTGTTGGAGAGAGCGCATCCCCTTTTATAGATGAAGGGGGTGACCTTACAGGTGAGAGGGAGAGAGTGCGTATACTATTAAGTCTTGTTGCCCACGCCGACGGGTACAAGATGATGGTAGGCTCCCATAATATTGTTCAATGTCAGATGCACGTGGGAGGTTGCGTCGTCTTCTTTAGGTATGGCAGATGTCGGTGCCTGTCACACTGTCGATACCCAGATGCATACAAGGGGTTTTACCATGTTCGCCTGGTACATTAAATGCCGGCGCCCACAACACTGTTGATGCCCATAGACATGTGGGGGTAGCCTTATCGTATTTGTCCGGTGTAGGAGTTAATGGCGCCCACAACACTGTTGGGGAAAATGTCGGCGCCTACAACACTGCTTGGGTTATGTCGTGCCAGGAGGGTCGCAGGTTACTGCCTGGCAGGTGCACATGGTACGGTCCCTGGTATTGCGGTTTGACTTGTGCGCCCTGCCTTACTTTCTCCGTCCGTTTCCTGGTCCTTACCGAGCGGGCGTCCCCGGTCTGTTGGACTCAGTCGGCTCTGACCGCGCCAGTCGGAGAAGAGCTGTAAGCAGGGGTTCGACGTATCCCCGGTTGGAAACGCGGGTCAGAGCCGAAAGCGGTGTTTGGCCAGGCCTTCCGGTCGGAGAGTTCATCCGGAGGCGGGCTGGAGACCGAAGCGAGCGCTCCGGTCGGAGAGGCGGGCTGAAGTCAGAAGCGAGCGCCGTTCCTCCTCGGCCAGGCCTTCCAGTCAGAGATTGGATCGCCCCTCTGGCCTGTCGTTTAGGTACTTGGGCCGGCCCGAGAGTTGCGCACTGCTCGCAACGTTGTCTGTTGGGCCGAGCCTTTGCTGGGAAGCCGGTCCTGAGGGACCCCGGGTTCATGAACCCGACACTCCCCTTGGTCTATAAAAGGGAAGGCAAGGCACCGTTCAGAGAGGGAGATCGATCGATCGATAGATGGAGCAGTAGATGCATCGAGCAATCAAACCACAGAGACTTGGGAGCTCCTTCCTCTCTCGCCAGTTTATAACCGCATACTATAAACTCAGTGCTGGTAACACGAGCAGCCCGAAACTGGACGTAGGAACATTCGACCCGAACCAGTATAATCCTCATGTCCTCTTAGCACACCATCCGGGTTAGACACGCAATATACAAATTTACTAGTCGGTTGTTCAAAACACCGACAATTACCCACCTCTGCCATTATACTAAATAAAATCTATTTTGTATTATCTTGCGTATTGGCAAAGGTGAGTGATTTGGATGCAATGTTATGGTGTTACTTTATGTATTTTTCATAATGACAGAGGTGGGTAATTTTTTTAAAAAAAATTATAATGGATCTAATGGTTGTCAGGTGATGATGATTCGAGTCTACCAAATTAAAGGAAAGATGTTTCTGATTATTGTGAGAATTTCTATGATTTATCTGTTTTTATAGCATGTTTGGTGGAAGTTGACATGGTGCCTCCGTGGAGCCTCTAATTAGTAAGAAGTAAGATGATTATTAGAGATTACTAAAAACTTGCTAAAATTCACGTGTCTGAATTTTAGTTTTCTTTCACGCAACGGTTATTGCATATATTTTAAATAAAAATTGCAGTTTTAGTTTGTTATCATTTCTGTAGGCACATGCAATTTTTTGTTCCTATAATAAAAAATCTCTTAGACAAAACCACAAACCTGACAAAATATTATTTGGATTAGCACAAAGACAATTAACAATTTACAATTGTTTCTTTAAAGACAAAATTTTGATATATTATGACACAGGCAAATAAAAATCGCAAAAATAATAATTTCCTTGTACCAGTTGTTGGTACAATAATATTGTCTAAAATCATCTTAAAATTCAAACACCTAAAATATATATAGAAGTGCTGAATTAATGGCCATACAATTTTAGTTTTTCTAAGAATTCGTAGGATTTTTTTTTCTAGCGCATCTCAACTAACGTATAACAATCAGATATCATTATTATAACAATAGTGTGATCTTATCTCTCTGTATATTTTCTCCAAAAAAAAACCACATGCCCGTGTTTTAGCTTAGAGGTTTATATTTTTTTTCCACAACGGTAAAACCGAATTTCATTACCATGGCAACAAAATTACAGATAGTTCCATATCTTCCCAGTACAGAAATGTAAAGGCAAAATGACTCCTTCAAGCATATGGTCACGAAGGGACCAGATACAGGAAGGCTAAACCACTACTGTCTACGTTGTAGAACCGCCACCACAGGGCCAAAAAACGGCAACAGGAGTTTGCGACATCAAGAACTTGCGCTACGCAAAAACCATATGAACAGCAACAACTGCCTATACAATCAACCAGCAAACGGCACCAGCTGCATCCCCTCCTGGGATTGAGCCTGCAGCTCTTGGTTGTGGAAGGAGAGCGCCGCCTTCTTCACCAGCTCTGCTCCCTGGATCACCTGCTCCTTCATGTCGTCCTTCAGCAGCCCTGCCCAATAGGTAAGGAAAGAGCAGATCAAACAAATAATCTCAGTAGGAGATTTCACCCTTTTGTCATCAAAACATACAGCGTTTCTAGTACGCCAGATAGCCCAACAAACAGCGGCTAACCCCACAGCATGCATGCTGGGAGCCTGAGGAAGAATATTTTGAATCCAAATCCAGTATTGCATCATACTACTCGGTCTGCAATCAGACCCTAAAGAGTAAGCAAGCAAACTCCACACATATTTAGCAGTTAGGCAGTCAAACAAAAGATGCTGAATATTTTAATTCTCATTGCAAAAAGCACAGGATGCAGAGCCCTTCCATTTCAGCTTAGCTAAGTTGTCCTTAGTGAGGATAGCATTATGATCAATAAGCCACATGAAAATTTTATCTTCAGAGGAATTTTAGCTTTCCACATTTTCCTAAAGCTAGAGCCATAATCATGTCTGCATAAGTGATTGTAAGTCGATTTAACAGAAAACGAACCAGACTTTTCCCAATCCCACTTAGCTCTATCATTATCACCATTAATGCCATACCGATAAACCATGTCATGCAATCTTCTCAATTGACACTGAAGATCTTCATGTAACCACCTCCTAAACGATAGACGCCGGTTCTTCTTCTTCATGAAATCCACAGAACAATGTTGTTCCATACTGATTTCATACAGCCTCGGGAATTTGTCTGCCAAGGAGACAGGACCACACCACCTGTCATGCCAGAAGCTGGTGGTTTTACCATTACCAACCACCACAGACCTGCCTTTCAGGTAAAGATTCCTAACTTTTAACAGATCATTCCACACAGGGGAATTCTTGGGGCTTTTCAACAGAAGAGCAATACTCTCTTTCTTCAAATATTTTTTCTTAATGATATCTTGCTAGATACCCTTTCCATTTTCAGCTTTCCACCACCATTTACACAATAAGCTAGCATTGTTCTTAGGTTTAGTAATTTTAACCCATTTAACTAGAAGGGCGGGCCTGGTGCAGGCGGTAGAGTGTTACCGCCTATGACCGGAAGGTCCTGGGTTCAAGTCGCGGTCTCCTCGCATTACACAGGCGAGGGTAAGGCTTGCCACTGACACCCTTCCCCAGACCCCGCACAGAGCGGGAGCTCTCTGCAGTGGGTACGTCCTTTTTTAACTAAATGGTACTTCTTCTTCGTACCCCCTCCTTGCCAAAAGAAATGTTTTCTGGCAACATCCATCTTATCAAGAACTGACACAGGCAACCAAAACATGGACATAGCATAGACAGGAATGTTGCTTAAGCAGGAATTGATTAACACTAGTCTCCCTCCTAAACTCAAAGAGCTCCCCTTCCAACCATCTAACCTTTTCATAAGTTTTTCAATGATAGGCATCCAATCAGCCACATGTAATCTGGAGCCTGCCACAGGGACTCCAAGATATTTAATAGGCCACTTGCCAATGGCACAGTTAAACAAATTAGAAAACTCCAGACTCTTAGCCTCATCTTGACTCACCATTATCACCTCACTTTTGGAGAAGTTAATCTTGAGACCAGACATAGCCTCATAAAGATACAGGAGTTTTTTTCAGATGAGAGGCCTGTTCCATATTGTCCTGAAGACACAGAATAGTGTCATCAGCATATTGCAGAACAGCCACTCCATTTTCAATAAAATCATGAACAAGTCCAGTAATCAACTTGTTTCTTTGAGCAAGGGTAATCATTTTAGCAAGAGAATCAGCAGCAATGTTGAATAGGAAAGGGGACAAAGGACTCCATTTTCAATAAAATCATGAACAAGTCCAGTAATCAACTTGTTTCCTTCTCCCACTCTTTTGGCATACCATCTCCATGTAGAATTAGAACCTGGCTTTAATCTGAATTCATTTCCAATCTGCCTAGCATTGGCTTGGCCAAAGTGATAGAGATCATGGCAGTAGTAGTCATATCTTTAATCCCTTCATCAGTGTTTGTGCTTTCAATGAAGTGAAAGCCCTGAACATAAGCAGATAAGCCATAAAAGGGTGAGTTAAACTCCCAAGGCATTTTCTCTGTACAAACTCTTGCCACATGACCTTCCTTATGACACCTGGTACATACAATAGGGCTAGGACAACAATTAGAGGGGTGTTCAACCTTGCCACATCTCTGACAGAATTGCTGTCTGTCCTGCTGCTCTCTAGGAGCTTCCTGACTTCCATTACCCCCACCCTGAGCCATCTGATCATCATTAGCAATAATTTGGGTGTTGTTGTTCACAGAAGTTTCCACCTCAGCAGACTTAGTTTTCTGGGCCGGATTGGACTCCTCCTGTTCTTCATGCTGTGCCCGCTCCTCTGGGCGCCCTTGATTCCAGCCATAACCACGACCACCGCCCCCCTAGAACCGGCCGCCTCCTGTCTCTCCCCCGAGGAACCCAACCCCTATTCCCACGACCTTGCCATCCATACCCACGGTTACCCCCATAGCCCTGATTGTACCAACCCTGACAATTTTGACGCGGATCCATGGTTGCCCTTGGCTGCGGAGGAGCCTGGAGAACCTGCGAGAATGACCTAGTATCACCACCTAGAGTCGACCAGATTGTAGACTTCGGATTAGCACCACGAAGGGGAGCTAATACCGAGGTAGAAGAAGAAATCCCCAAATCTCGCACCGAAACAACTCCACAAACCCCAACAATCGAGCTATGTCTCCAGATATGGACGAGTCTAGCGCTTAGATCAGTGTCGGAGTGATCACGTACCTCGTGGGGAAGCCGAACACCCGCCTCCTGCCGCCCCGTTTGCGCGATTCTACAGGAATCGCTAGGGTTTCCTCCCTCTCTCGACTGGAACCCGGGAGGGGAATAAGGGGAGGGAAGGGGAAGAGACTGCGGCCCCTCCACCACGCACTGCTCCGTAATCTTATCCCCAGTAATCCGCCATGGCCCAGAGCTCATAGACTGCGAAGGAGTCTGAGCACAGACCGAGTCCGCCAACGGCGGGGCCAACTCACCCTCCGACTGCGCACCCGCGCCTGCTCCTGTAGCTCGGGTCCGTCCCCCAGACCCGCCACGCCCGCGTGGAGTGCTCTCGCTCGTGACCGCGCCGCTTTCCTCGCCTCCATGGCCCACGCTCGTCGCGTCGCCTGGTGCGCCCGTGTCGAGAGGAAGAGGAAAGAGACGATCAATTCGTATGAGTATAGACTAATTTACTTAGAGGTTTATATATTGGTTTGTTTATAAATATTAAAGTCTGCTTTACAGTTTAATTAAATTCTATATTAACTCCATGGCAGTAGTCCGCGCAAAACTGTAGGGGAGTAAATTCTGAAGGGCACATACATCGCAATATGGCTAGGCAGAGGGCGGGCTACGCCACGCCCACCTCTGGGACGGGTTCCGTCTCGTTCGACATCAAAGCCGTGGGCTTCGTCTCGTCCGACCTTTAAGGGTGGGCTATGCCTCACTCGACCTCTAGGAACGGGCTCCGCCTCCCTGACACCGAGGCTGTGGCCTCCGCCTCACCGGGCCTCTAGGGGCGGGCTCCACCTCGTCCGACTTCTAAGGGTGGGCTCTGCCTCTACCGACCTTAGGGGCGGGTTACGCCTCGTCCGACACTAAGGCCACAGGGTCCGCCTCGCCTGACCCTTGGGGACAAGCTTCGCCTCGCCCGACACCTAAGCTGCGGGCTCCGCCTCGTCCGACCTCTGAGGGCTGGCTCCGTCTCGCCTGACCTCTGAGGGCGGGCTCCGCCTCCCCGACCCTTGGGTTTACGCTCCGCCTCACCCGGACTCTGGGGGGACTCCGCCTCGACCGTCCCCAAGGCCGGGGGATCCGTCTCGCCCGACAGAGACCCATACCGCCGCCAACCACTCTAGGTCCAAGCGAATGGCCCTGGATCAAAGCTCTGACACCAGGGAGGTGACCGGGACACCCTAATATAACCCGTGGCCATGACGGGCCATACTTAGAGATTCACATCAGGAACAATATCGGGCGTACCGATGCTGTTCTGCCTAACCCTCATACGAGCACTGACAGGCGCGTCAGTCCACCAAGACCAGAAGACGACGCATGCACATGGCGCCAGTGACGGACAGGGCCGCGACGTGGAGCTGTCCTTGTTGATGTCTACAGGGTCGGCGGGACCCGCATGAAGGAAAAGAAGGACCCGGCGATCCTATAGGACTTCTTCTCCTTCTCATTCTCCTCTTTTCCCTTCACTGTAACACGTGCTTTCCTTTAGCCTATAAAAGGAAAAGCAGGGTGTCCCATAAGGGGCATCGCATCAATTCAGACTCGAACCCATCAAACCCCGAACCGATCAAAACACACAAGCACACACCCGGGAAGCAACCAACCTCTCGGCACCTGTTCGCTCCTCTCACCAGACTTGGGACCTATCCCTCTCTCAACCGTTTATAACCCCTACTACGAACTTTCAGTGCTAGTAACACAGTCAGCAGCAACGAACTGGACGTTTCTGCCCGAACCAGTATAAACCTCGTGTCCTCTTAGTACACCATCCGAGCCAGACGTGCAATATTAGAAATTTACTAGTTGATGGCAACTCAAAATATACAGTTGGCGCGTTAGGTAGGGGCCTTTTGCGCGTCTTGACATTCACACCAGGCCTCGGATGGCTAGTCACAACCTCAGCTAGGTCCCGGGCGCGCACGTGCGCTTCGGGGACCTGGACTTCATCATCACGACGGAGGGAGAGTTTGCAATGGCTCCCACCACCGTCCGACCTCTCCACTCCGCTGGCCTCGCCGAGGCACTTGAGGAGCTGCGGCTACACGCATCGGAGGTCCCCGCCCCCAGAAGCGACCATCTCCTCGACTTCGACTACGGGAGGTTAGAGCGCTAGCTCGTCGCCTTCCTAGGACCCCGATCGTCCCGGGAGGACCTGCGCCACCTCACCTTCTTGTTCGCCAACGTCATGGCGTAGGTTTCCAGAGGAGAGCCACTCTCTCCGAAATACCCCATCTGGAGAGCCTCGGCAGCGCTCCCATTCGGTCTCCACAACGCCACAGAGATTGTTGGCCACCTTGTGGCGCAACGCACGCCTCCTTTCCCCGCGAACAATGAGTTCGTAGGGATGACCGAATATGTCGTGGAGTCTTTCCACGACCTCCTCGTGGAAGAAATGGAGTCACCCTCCGCCTCTGACTCCAGCAGGGGGAGCCATCACCTCTCTCATGAATGTTTTATGGAAGGTACCCCTGAGGGACACGTCGAAAGCATCCACGAGGAGGAGGCTATCCCGATAAACGACCTCGACGACGAGGTCGAGGGGGATACAGGGGCTCCACCCTGCTTGCGGATGGAGCAGCTGAAGGCCCAGCACCAAGAGCTCGAGGAAGCACGACTCCAGCTCGAGCAGGAACGTGTGGAGCTTGGCGCGCACGCGCCATGGCCCGCGACGTGAACCAGAGGATCATCGAGGATGATGAAGCCCTCCCACACTTCACCAGAGTAAGCCAGAACATCGCTGCTACGGCAGCCTTGCTCCGTGGGCTTCTAGGGCCCACGACGCCCGAGGATCGTCGGGCCCATCATGAGATTCGCACGCTACTTGAGCGTGCGGCGGCGCAGCAAGACGAAAGCTCGTTGTCTCAATGACACGAGCTCAACGCCAGCTAGCGCACACCCTCGGAGTGACCCGACAAGGACACATCAGTCCACCAGGCGCTGCAAGGTGGCAGGCTGTGCACCGCGGTCCCGATGCATGAGTGTCTCGACCGCAACCGTGATGCGCGCGACACCCTCGACGCTCGTAGGCGTACCCATGGCGATGCGGGGGAGGGAGCTAGCCACGGCTACCACCCTCACCGTGGCGGATGCTACGACAGCAGCGAGGACTAAAGTCCAAGGCCCGGTCTGCCTAGACCTCAGGCCTTCAGCCGACACATCTGAAAGCTCTAGTTTGGTTTTGGTGAATTGATGAAACCCTAAGTGCTAACCTAGTTTATCAAGTGATCATGAGATAGGTAGCACACTCCAAGTGGTGAAGCAAATGAAGATCATAGCATGATAAAGATGATGACATGGTGATGATCAAGTGCTTCGACTTGGAAAGAAGAAAGAGAAAAACAAAAAAGCTCAAGGCAAAGGTATAAACTATAGGAGCTATTTTGTTTTAGTGATCAAGACACTTAGAGAGTGTGATCACATTTAGGATTGATAGCCGTACTATTAAGAGGGGTGAAACTCGTATCGGAATGCGGTTATCAAAGTGCCACTAGATGCTCTAACTCATTGCATGTGCATTTAGGATCTAGTGGAGAACTAACACCCTTGAAAATGTTTGTAAAAATATGCTAACACATGTGCACAAGGTGATACACTTGGTGGTTGGCATATTTGAGCATGGGAGAAGAAGTTAGAAGTGAAATGGAGTTGGTCGCAATGATGCTGGCGTCGGTCAACTGACCGGACGCTGGGTCGCTCTGCGACCGGATGCTGAAAGGCTACGTCCGGTCAAGTGGTCGGTCGACACAGTGGTTAGGGTTAAGCACCAGACGCTGGGCTGTGTCCGGTCAAGCATGACCGAACGCGTCTGGTCGGCAAAAACTAGTTTTCGACCCTTACTGTAAACGACCGGACGCTGAGGGTTCAGCGTCCGGCCAGTTCTGTCGGAGCGTCCAGTCAGCTTGTCGACCGTTGAGATCAAACGTTCACTGTTGAACGCAGGAGACACGTGGCCGCCATCGGGCGATCGGACGCTGAGGAGCAGCGTCCGGTCAGTAGGACCGGAGCGTTCGGTCACCCCGATCACTGCCCAGTGAAGGGGTACAACGGCTCTATTTCGTGGGGGCTTCTATTTAAGCCCCATGGCCAGCTCAAGCTCACTCTCTTGGCCATTTTCATTGACATAGCAACCTTGTGAGCTTAGCCAAAGCCCTCCTACTCATTTCCATCATAGATTAAACATCTTTGTGAGATTGAGAGTGATCCAAGTGCATTGCTTGAGTGATTGCATCTAGAGGCACTTGGTGTTCGTGTTTCGCTGCAGATTTCGCTTGTTACTCTTGGTGGTTGCCGCCACCTAGATGGCTTGGAGCAGCGAGGATCGTTGAGCGGAGGGTGGTGATTGTCTCTGGCTCCAATCGTGGTGATTGTGAGGGGTTCTTGACCTTTCCTCGGCGGAGCACCAAAAGGTACTCTAGTGGATTGTCCGTGGCTTGTGTGATCCTCATCTTGTGTTGGTTGTGCGGCACCCTATTGAGGGTTTGGTGTGTGATGCCAATTAGCGCGTGAACCTCCAAGTGAGTGAATCGCCACAACAAGGAGTAGCTTGCCGGCAAGCAAGTGAACCTCGGTAAAAATCATTGTGTTCATCATTTGATTCCGATGTGATTGGTCTTCATTGTTATTCATCTTTGTGATTGATTGGCTCCTTTCTCGACACGGCGGTATAACTTTCTTTATCACTCTCTTTACATTACCGCAAACTAGTTGTCAAGCTCTTTAGTGTAGTTAGTTGTGAGAGCTTGTTTGCTTGGTTGGTGTGGCTCTTTAGTTAGCTTTTGAGAGCACACTAACATAGAGTAGTGTCATAGCTATTGTGTGAATAGATTCTACCTAAACTAGAATTGTGGTAGGTGGCTTGCATTTTGAGTAGGCTAGCGCAAAACTCGCTTTGCCTCATAATTGTCTAATCCTTTTGTTAAGTGTTGTTGTAGAAATTTTATTAGGCTATTCACCCCCTCTAGCCATTAGGACTTTTCAACATCCTCAACGCCGTCTTCCCGCCATGGTACTAACCACCAACCAACATCCTAAAATACTTTGGGGAAACGAAGCACGGACTATGGCTCGAGGATTATCGGCTTGCTTGCCAATCCGGTGGAGCGGATAATGACAACTTCATTATCCACAACCTTCCATTGTTCCTGGCCGATTCGCCACGAACATGGTTGGAACTCCTTCCACCCAACAGAATTCAAAGTTGGGTGAACCTAAAAGAGATCTTCGTGGGGAACTTCCAGGGCACGTACAAGCGTCCTAGGAACCCATGGGAGCTAAAAACCACCGACAGAAGGTCGGAGAAACCCTCGATGGGTACATCTGGTGCTTCTCCCGATAGTGCAATGAACTGCCTAATGTCGCCGATGCTGAC